GTCCCCTATTTTCGGGAACCCCCAGGTTTCGATGTTCTGTACCTGGACTTCGACCTAGTCTTGATGCAAGACCCCTTGCCGAGCATCCTGAGACATGCAGAGGAGGCCGAACTCTTGCTGACCCGAGATTTCGGCGGCGAGTGCATCAATATTGGGGTTGTCTACATGAAGTCGCACCCTAGCACCTCCTTGTTCGTGCAGGGGCTTATTCGCTGGCTTTGGCACCACCCGTACGAGTTTTGCCAGAAAGCATTTGCTGGCATGATGGGCCTGGAGGACGTCACTTGGAACGACCAATACGGAGATCCGGTGCGTTCCGTTCCGCGATGGGGCTTTCTGGACTCCTTAAACAGCTTCGCAACCAGCACAGTTTACGATGCAAGCTTGCAGGGCTGGACCGGAGACCTGGAGAAAATTCTCATCTACCACTTCTTGGATGGGCTTGGGGCTGTGGATCCGGAACTGGCGGTAACCGGCGAGTATACGGACTTGTTCACTCTGTTTTACCAGAACCCCGTGTTGAATCTTGGGGATACCCAAACGCCGCTCTACGAGCAAGATGCGAGAGTCCGGAAGCAACTCCTGTTTACCCGACAACCGACACCTCCCTCACAACTACAGGCCTGTGGCCACTACGAAACCTCTGCCTATCCAGCCTGGAAAAAGCGCCAGCGCGAGAATCTCCGGACACGGCTGGACATCCGACCCGTCCAGCTGCACTGACCCAGGAAGGACAAAATTAGGGTGTTGCATGGGCTCCGGCGGGCTTTGTCTCATTTTGTGATATGATTTTGCCGCGACTTCTCGATGAGATCCTGAGCTCTAGAGCCTGTAGAGACTCGCAGCCGAGGCAGGGTGGAAGGCGGCGGCGCAGTCTGGGGCGAAGATTTCGTCCTCTCGGATACTTCGTTGATAAGACCCGTGGCAGGCTCGACGAGGGTCGCAGGAGCTGCTGGGTTTACGGCGGCTTGGGATTCTAGGATTTCCCAGTGGCACCAGTGGTTCTTGTAGGCCGGAGGAGATTGTGGGCGGTACTTTGGGTCGCAGTCTTCAGCATGCTCATGAAAAATCGGCCGCACCGCGCGAGCAGGTCGCTGAAGTCGGGAATCTGCTCGCTTCCGTTTAATTTAGCTGTCTTCAGTAAAGGGAAGTTGGACAAAGCTTACCCTGAACATAAGACAGGCATTGCCCCATATGGATGAGGATAGGGTCCCTTGTAGCGTTGTTTTTTCAGGCTGACGAGTATGGAGGCCTGAAAACGGACCCTAACTTTGCGAACTACCCGTGAATTCCGATGTCACCAGCCCTGGCTCTCCAGCATCCCCTACTCTTGGCGCTTTTGCTTGAATCGGGCGCCACAGGTGTTTGGTTGCAGCCGTGATCCAACCATGATCATGCAGAGTGTCGCTATTACTAAAGGTGCTCCGTAATGCAACTTGCCCCACGAAGGTGCCGGTAATGCTCCGACTGACCTTTGGGCCCTGCTTGCGCATATATTTTCCGAGTGACTCGTTGTTGTTCTTGTTTGTCTTCAAAAGCCTTCTACTTAGCGTCTACCCTTCGAAATTCAAGTGTGCTTCACTATTCGTTGCTGAACCTTAAACAAACCCTCAACCCTAATAGCCTGAGAGCGAGAGAGATCGACTCACTGGAGGCTATGCTCTGACGTACATCGAGGTGTTGATGCTCACACGTGAGCGTTTTATGGACGTCATCGAGCGACGGAAGCTCGCAGGCAAAGCAATGTTGTTCTCCGTTCCATTCAGGCGTAGACCTAGAGCAGTACCTTGGAACCTCACCCACAAACCCACCCGAAGCCACCTTGACACATGCAAGGAAGCTCACATGCCCTCAGCTTTCGATGATCGTGCGTCGATACTGCGTGCGTGTGGCCGTGCCTCGGGCTGCTAGTGAACAGGGCTTGGAGGTGTTTGCCGAGCTTGTGAAAGCAGAAGGTGAGAGATCAGGGTGTAAAGAGCTGGAATATAGCAGCGCATGGCTTTGGGGACTGTTTTGCCAGCAGTTACGTTGTTGTCTAGTATTGGGTCACAGCGACGCATGCCAGCATCCGCATCCCGACAGAGTCAGACACAGAGAGAGTCTTTGTCTGGAGCATTGTGCCCTGGTCGCCGAGCTTGCCAATAAGATCTATTCGTGCTGTCGTCAGAGAAACGTTTATTTTCCTGGCCAACCAAAACGCATAAGCTCGATGAATCCTCTTAACCCTCCATAACTAGACAACAAGTATTATGTACTTGTTCATCTCGTGCACCGTCCGATGCCGTAGCGTTCGCATCGGGTCTGTAATGTCGGTACCGAATAGTCACTGCCAAGGTTCTTGCGGGCCGAAACGAAATTCGAAGCCTCAATCCCGCCCTCCCCGAAACTCCGAAACCCTGAAGCCTCAAAGCACGAAGCTCGAAAGCTCCCACAAGGCAGATTCCCTCAAAGGCCCATTAATAGCCATGCGGCATATACTGTGCCCCCTTACTAAAACCCTAAACCCTAAAGCCACTCACTCCGTTCAATGATTCAGTCCTCAGCTCCTTCTACCTAGGGGTTCATGGACCATGTAAGGAATCCTGCATAACCCTACCGTTGGTTTAGGGCTTAGGGAAGAACCTATACAAGGCCCAAACGAAACTGCTGCAATTAGGATATATCTGATATAGCTTTTTTATGGCATACAACTTATGGTCTATAGTTTATGATATATAGTTTAAGACTAAGACTTAGATGGCATACAACAGATGATATGTACTCGAAATGTATGACACATCTTATATATGATGTACAAAGATGTACACGAAATACATCACATATATAATCTAGTATATATCTATATGGATATTACATTATAACATAACATCTAGTATGAAAGAAATTTAAGCTATAATACATAACATGTTAAGCTATGAAGACTACATATCTCTACATATACCTATATCTTTATATCTATATCTATATCTATATATCTATATATCTATATATCTATATATCTATATATCTATATATCTATATCTATATCTATATCTATATCTATATCTATATCTATATCTATCTATATATACACTTTTTTTTCCGTTATACTCAGGTTTTCCGGGGGATCCTCCGGGAAGCACGAAGCCGGGCACGGGAGGACCTGAGCCTTGGGCGTGTTATCTTCCAGAGGGTTTCGGGCTTATTGGGTTTATAGGGTTTATTGGGATTATAGGGTTTAGGGTTTGGGGTTTAGGGTTTAGGGTTGTGGGTTGTGGGTTTTTTGGGTTTATGGGTTTAGGGTTTAGGGCTTAGGGCTTAGGGCTTAGGGTTTATAGGGTTTAGAGTTGTAGGAGGTGTAGGGCTTAGGGTTGAGAGTTGTAGGGGGTTCAGGCTTAAGGGTTTAGAGTTGTGGGGGGTTTGGGGTTAAGGGTTTAGAGTTGTCGGGGGTTTAGGGCTTAGGGTTGAG